CAGAAAGTCAGGCATTACAGTGACCTGCCAAGCCTTAACTAGGACAGCCTCTAGATTAAAACTATTTTACACTACAAATATACCYAACTCCCCCATATTTTGAGATTTATGGGGCAATGACTACACTGCAGACAAAAAAAAAAAATGCAATTTTTCCCTCCCTCATTTGCTATTAAAGGAATAGGCATTTCCAGAAATACCAGAAGTTTGAGCTGGCAATTAGCATTGGGAAATCCCAGCCTCCCTTGGCTCTACTTCTGACAAAAGCTGCTGCTCACACTGAACTGCCTAGTCAATTTTCAATTTTAAAGCCACTTGAATTTTATTAGTATTGAAAGTGTTTGGAAACAAAACCCCGTTCTAATCTTCCCTTTCCTTATTRCATCCTGTTGACTGGGTAAGGAAAAAAAAGTTGTGTTGTCAAAATAAGAAGTTATGTTTATCAGCTGATCTGCAAGCATATCTAGATAATAGTCCCAAAACTTTTCCAGTTACTGCCCACAGATTTAAGGCCAAGAGCAAGGATTTAAGGCTGGGCGGGAAGAAATGCTTCCATACTGTGGCCCTTTTCTAGAGGGATAAGGACACAGTTAAAAACAAGTCTACCTACACAGATCATCTTGGTACCTACCATACCTCAGTATCAAGAAGCTCGATATTTAAATGTGTGTAGGTGCCTAAAAATGTAGGTGAACATTTTGTCATATGTAAAAAGCAGCCAGAACATGTTTAGACGGGTTTGATATTTTCACACATCTGAAAATCCACCCAGCACTCATCTGCATCTTTAGGTATCTAGATGCCTTTGAAGCCAAGCCACAAACGTATTAGTTATTAGAGAAAGCATTTAGGTTTTTAAGTATTAATAACWACTAAAAATCAAGTATCATCAGAACTTCTTTTAATTACTTCAAATCTTACCTTTTCTAGCTAACACACTGAAGAATATTTCTTAGAGGTCTAGAGATGCTCGTTCTCTATCACGGAGATAAACTGAACAAACTGAAGTTCTAAACTGGTAGTTGCTACTAYGATCATATCAAATTTTTCAAGCACAGCACACAACAACAAAAACAAATAAAATGATCATCCTGTCAGGTCACCAGGCACCTAGAGCAGATTAAGTTTCACCATGAAGAGCAAGAAAAAGGAGGAAAAAATAAAGCCTCAAGGCAGAAAAGGAAACTGGATGTTCTCTTGAGAAGGAAGTGCAATTTCTATAGTTCTGTCTGTAAATGTTTGAAGTGTATCGAATCCCAAGCTCGCTGTCCCAAYATTTGCCCCTTCTGCTCACGTTCCCAGGCTACACACCCGCTCCCATGAGTGCACATCATGCCCTGCTCTGTCACAACTAGGAATTGTCAGAGCATCTCCCTCCTCCACTGCAAACACACGCGTTCACATGGCAACAGTCACCCCCAGGAAGGGTTTCTCAGTGAATAAATGTGCCGGGGGAAAGATTTTCTCTGTCAACAGGGCTGCTTGTGCACAGAGAGGGACTCAAGTAAGGCAAAGGGGAGCTGGGCAGCAAGAGCCTTCTCCTTTGCTCCCCCCAGGTCAGAGCGCTAAGAGGAGACACGCTCYCATCCGCCTCCGCTCTGGACTACACCACTTCTGTTCAGTCTCAGAATTAGCAGCCTCGTGTGTTCCCACGTCACCACGACCACCCTGGGCTTTTCTGGCCACTAATCTGAGGGCAGGATTYGACTCCGCAGAGAAGCCAAGCGAGCAGCTGCAGCGAGGGAAGCCCTGCTGCTGCTCCTCCTCCTCTCTCAGAGCAGACCCCACAGCGAGACAGCATAGGGAGTTAACCAGCTAAAACTAACCTCGCTAAATAGTTTTCTGCTGCTTTACATCCCTGAACTGCCTTGCYGTGGGCTCAGACAAATACCCCCAGAGCCACAGTGCTGCACAGCTGCCCTGTCAGCAGTGGCAGGAGAAGWGCGAGCCGAGCCATTCATTTGGACTGCTGTAGATGGAGCACCAAATTAAAACCCCACAGCAAGAACACACAAATACACGCATGAATACCAGCAGTTGAGCCTCTTTTGAATTCAGCTGCTCTAGAAAGGCCTAAAGAGCTTTAAGATATGGTTGAAGCCTTATCTAGTCTTCATGTAGTTTTATGTTATGAGTCTTGCTGCTTGAGAAGTGTTTGAGTAATCCCTACTTCCCACGCACGCCTTGAAGACTTATTCTCACTCTTTTTCTTTTTTCTCTTTAATGCTAAGAGTGTGGCTAAAAAGAAGCATACATTCCCTCCCCCAAGACACCTTCCATTCTGCAAAATAAGACAATAAAGTTTTTCTCCAGAAAGCAACAGAGAAGTAAGGGTGGACGTGAAAAGAAAGATGCTCCCACCTTACTGATCTTATCCTTATCCTCATCTGAAAAGCAGTTAATGTTTTATGCACCACAATACAAATGCAACTAATTCCAGTTTAAGCCATCTCCTTTTCCTCACAAATTAYGGCAAATGGCAGCTTTTGGAAATTGGAGAAAAAGATAATCTTCCTTATCTTGCACAAAATATAGAGCAGCTCCTGTTGGCTGCTTYGAATTATGCCCTTAAGGTTCGACCTCAACAAGGCCAAGGCAGACTAGGGTGAATCCGGATTGCTGTGCTCTTAGAGGTACACACCTGATCTTCAGATATCTGCAAAAATCTTATGTGGYCAACTTTATCTCCAGCTTTTAGACTGCAGAACTAAAATCAAAGTGGTAAATGTTTTCAGCTCACTTCTGATTTTGCAATGAGGTGTGAGGGAGTTAGGATAAGTTAGGAATAAGCAATCCCATGCAATTCACAACCGTGGGTGGACTAGTTAGAGCAAGATCTGGTTGCGTCACGCGTGTCCCTCAGCCTTTGCTCTCCAGCAGCAGCCCAGCCAAAAGCATGACGGAAGCCTTGCCGACGCACAAGCACCTCTAGGCAGCACGTGGGTTCACACCCTTGCCAAAGAACTCTTGTCTCTTTATTCAGGTAGATGCCCATAAAATGTTTTAATGGTGTAGGGAGCCAGAACGGCTCTTGCTGCTACTCAAGAACAGCAACAACATTTTCTGACTATGAAACAGGCAATTCTGGACTAAACTGAGTGGCATGTTGGGGTGAGATGTAATCAGAAGCTTGCAATGTTTCATTTTCATTGTTGTAAMGTGGCCTGAGGTATAAAGCAAAATTACACAGGATTTGACAGATTTATTTTCCACAGTCATTTTTTTCTATATCTAAGTGTTATTTACAGTTCTGTTCTCCAMCCCAGAAAAAGCAGGAGGTTTTGGAAGCCTAGTGAAACATGCTACGGCTGCACTAAAGATCTTTAAATGCTGGATAGCACGAAACACACTTTTGACGTAAGACCTTTTTCTTATCCTTTTCTTTGGACTCCAGCAGTACAATGAACACGCTGTCTCAGCCCGGTGACTTGCAAAAGCCAAGCACTGCTGAGATCAGTGTTCTTCACTCACCTCTCAAAGGTTGGTTGACGTTTAGCTTGGTTGAAGAGCAAGACTTTTTAGAAAGAGCTTTTGCTGAGTTGAAGAAATAGTTACCAGCAGTGCTGCTGCTAAGATGACAATACAGCATTTGCCTGCACCAGTGCTAATCTGTAGTTCAAAAAACACTGAGCAGCGGTCAGCACATCTGCAAATCACATTGCAAGCGTGTTACAAGCTGACTAAAAAGACACCTCTCTAACGGTGTACCTTGAGACCACCTTTACTTCAAAGCACAGTTGGCACTTATTGAGCACCGTGTAAAAGGATGTCCCCAAACATGAAAGCTCCTGAAGAACCTCCATTCCAAACCTAAYGCACCTTCACTAAGCACCACTGTTCCTGGGGAAATCTGATAGTGACAAATAACAATACATCACTTCTTTCAAAGAAGCATGTAGATTTGCAGAAAGATGAAACATCCTMTTCTTCAGGGATGACAGATTTGTTAGTAATTCCCCCCCAAATCTGAGAAGTTAATCAAACACATCAAAGTAAACACATCAAAGTCATGTGTTTCACTGACTGCTTAGAGCACTATCAAGTGAGCATCTGTGCTAGCACAAGGCAAGAAGCTGCAATGAGCAGCTGGAGGAGAAAGGACAGGACTGCAGCATCCCAAAGCTGCATCGGCTGCAGGTGCAGCGCTTTCAGTTCATCTTCTTATCAGCTTACTAGTTACGATGCAACACATAGCAACTCTTTTCTAGCAAGTGTTCAACAGAAATGCATTCACTAACATGCTTCCAAATGCTGCCATTCTCCCTGCAAGATGTGACAAGCAGCAGTGAGGAGGGTACTAAGAGTTGTGGAAGCCCATGGCAGTCCCTCTGGTCCAAGGCAATTATGCCACTCCATAAATTCTATAAGGGGTCTCCACTGATCCTACCTTAGCAACAAAAGATGACAAACTGCAACATTGTGTCTCTCCAAATACCATTTTAATAGTTTGCTGTCAGATTGTCACACTTTTGTGTCTTGTGCTGACTGATCAAGCCTCCCTTCCACCTCTCCTGTCACATTGGAGCTGACAAGCTGCACATAAGCCCTAATTGCAGCCCTCATTCCTCAAGTCCTGCTAACAAAGGAACTGCCACAGCCCAGGGAGGCTCTTGGTAAGCGCTCAAACATCACACTGATAAGAACAGCACTATGCTTGGACAGAAACACGATCAGGCACTGAAGGTTTAACRCTGGACTTAACACTGCACCTGGAACAAAATTTCAGCCTGAGCAAGAGAACAATCTAGCAGAAGATCAGCAGACCCCAGACACATATGTGTGATTCAGCTATTTCTAAAGGGGAGCAGTGCTATTAGATTGCATAACAGAATTACATTCCAAAACAAGAAGGGCCCAGTGTGTACTGCGCTCAGCCACCGCTTCGGTGCTTGGAAAAAGGTTTTCTCTGTAATTCATTAACCTACAACCTTATCAAGGTGGGARTGAAGAACTTGTTTCCAGTATGCAAAGCAGCAGCCAAACGGAGCAGCAATACTTACGTCACTCTTCCTGAACTTTGCTTTCAAGCTCTTCATGTTGATCACATTCAGCTTTCTAGATCTTTGAGGAACTTTTTATCCTTCTTCAATATCTAAACAAAAAAAAAAAAAAAAAAAAAAAAAAGGGAAAGGAAAATAAGATTTCCACTTGATAACATGCAGTTCCCTGGGAGTAAAACCTGACTTTAATTTACAAACCTACGTGGCCCTTGGAGGCTTTAGCCCTCAAGCTCTAGAAAAGATTAAGACAAACAATAAGAGAATTTTTTTTTTTTCTTAATCTTAAAAGCATGTTGCAGTTCAAGTATGACCTGAGAAGAACAAAGTGAGGCTTTACCAAAAGCTGAGAAGCGCCCCATGTTATACTAGCTAGAAGTAGATCAGGGGCCCATTCACACACAGTGCAGCCCCCTTCCCAATCCACAGCCCATCTGAGCAGTACGCGAGGGAATTGGCTTGTAAGGTGGGCAAAGTGGAAGTGCAGGCAAGTCGCCTCATTCAGCCACCTCTGTTGTGGGTCTGCACTGGGTAGCTGAAGAACCCACTGCTGTTTTATATACAAAACACAACCAGACAACGGAGCAGACGGGCCATCCGAGCAAGGACAGAGGTTATCACCAGGAGGAGAGTTTCACTCTTCCGCCTAAGAAACCATACATGTGTTGTCTGTCATGGCTGTTCTTAATTTGGCAGTGCACTAATCACAAGCAACAGCCATGCTCCCCTTTCCTCCCTCGCCAAGGGAGGAAAGCAGCAGCTGCAGACACATACCACGAGCTGCAGGAAAGCTGCAAGCTTACCCGGAGAACCGAGAAGCCCGTATCTAGAGCAAAGCTTCCTCCAGAAAGTCCCCACGTACAAAACATGACCAACCAAGACAAACGGGACAGGGAACAGAATAGGAGAAGCGTCTTTTCCTACAGCATAATAGGAAAAACTGAAAGAGTCTCATTCCAATGTGTTCACTGGAATAGCTAGCCCTTTTCCTTTGGTAGTTTTTTAGAGGCTATAAAAGTTCCTACTGAAGGAATAGTTTGAAAGTTGCTGTGTTGTACATGATCACTCTACTATGAGCAAGGATTTAAAATGCTATTACGTAGTACTGCCTTGGTAGAGTATATATGAATGCTTCCAGCAACACAAAACTGAGCACCATTCAGGAACAGCAATTAGTGCTAAGTAAACAYGTCATTTAAATGGTTGCCATATAACTATAGGATTGAATTAACGCACATACAAGCAGGTTTCTCCCCTCAAAAGAGCCTCAAACAGAAAACTCCACACACCGCATAGGGARGAATAAGTTTCCCACAGAACACACAGACCTGCAGCGGATTTTCTGCATGGGAAAATTCTGTGGGTTGTTAAAATACCCCTGAATCTAAATTGAGGGCTCCAGGCCCAGTCATTCTGAGGTCGTTTTGTTTTCCTCACTCCAGGTACATAGCCTCATTCAAAATCCTCATTTGAAGAATGGGCTTGTGAGGTTTATACTTGTGATGCTAAATCATGAAAGAAAAAACACAACAACAACAAACTCCACAGAAGCTTTTGACTCCCTGGTTTACATGAAAACTTGTCTAGTTGCTGTCCTAGCTGAATAACTGGAGTAGCTGCAAAATAACAACCTCAAAGAATTGTGTAAGTTGTGGAACACCTGGAAAGAAGGAATCGTCATGGATGGCTCTGAGAGAAGCGAGTCACTTTATTTGCATTGAGGCTAATCACTCTTTGGAGGAAGGGTGAAACTGCACAAGAGCTGTTGGACCTTCACTGGAAGGGAGTGYGAGCCTCAGCAACAGCTCCATTCTCTGCCAGCTTGTTCTCTAGCAACAGCCAGCACGATGAACGTTGGGAAGAGCAGAAATGCCAGGGTATGGACAAGACAAATGCCAGTACACATATCCAGGCCTCTTTGCATACTACAGCTAGAGACATAAAAGGCACATTGTTTTTAAAGCTCTTAGGAATAAAAAGGCGGAGAGCGCAAGAACCAAGAAACATCACKTAATATTCCACAGTCCCCAAGAAAACACAGGATTTTTTTTTATTTTAAAGGTTAAACATATCTGACTTTAAGTTAACCAGTATAATTAATCTAGACCATTACAAGAGAAAAAAAATCCACAAACAAGCCTGTGCCCATAGGGAACTGCATGGAACTGAAAGTTAGATTTTTTTTTTCCCCCCCAAATTCAGGTTGCCAAAGAATTTTCTTCTACAGTTTTTTTTYCCCCCCTGCTTCCCCCTGGCATTCTTAGCTGCTATGAATGAAATATTTGTTACAGCTCCCATGGAAGGTAAGTACCACACTACAGGTTTATGTGAGTGAAAACAATTCCTTGCAGATATACATGCAGAAGAGACGTAAATGTTAGACTGCCTAATATGAGGAATCTGTAGTACGATCTAATTAAAAGCTGTTGCAAGCTCTTTTAATGCGCTATCATTTTCCCCTGCCTGGAAAGGCAGAAGGGAGGTGTGCTGTACTTCTGTCAGATGCCAATTTATTATTTCTCCCCACAAAATACTTCACCTCTTACGTAAGCTCATTTTTATATGCTAAATTCAAAACTTAAATCCACAGCATAATTAAAAAAGCATACAGGAGCAGATCAAAACAGCACTCCTGGCTTTAGTGTGTGGGTCACATCTGTATCTTTTCCATAAGAGATAGTGCAACACAAACATTAAGATTACAGTTTGCACATCGTAATGTGCACAGTCCTCCGGCGGAGGAGATAGAAACCTGCGAGGCAGCAAGGGCTGCCTCCTCTTGGCACGGTTCCTAGAGGAGGAAGTCACCTCTCCAAGGGTGTGACTATTGGAATCAATGCAAGAGGAGGTCAGCATCCTGATTCAGCTGAGCTTTATGACAAGTGTTCGTTTGCCAGAGCAGGGAAAAGAGGAAGCAAGTAACACACTCCTCTTTTTATAGGATAGGAAACAACTACTAGGAATTCACTAGGGAGAATCAAAACATTTCAAAACAGCATTTCTGCAATGAATCACAGGTTCTAACAAGAAGTACTGTCTACCCGTAGTGGCATTTCTCTCCCTTCAGAACATGTGGTTTTTTAAAAAATAGAGAGCATCATCACTTTGCAGCTGTGGCAAGCTAGCAGTGGAGAAGAGCTCAGCTTCTGAGCTGCTCAGCAGCTAATGCTGATGACATGATTGAACCATTAGCTCCAAAATTAAATATCTAGTCCTCCATCTCATCTCTCTTCAGCTTATTATTAAGAAACAGCTTTTGGGAGTACGAGCCACAGAAAACATCTTTAGGTAAGCCTATTTTGTTAGGACAAGAGGCACTGAAATGGTGCTAATCTTCAGCCTCAGTTTATTGAAATTGTGTTTTAATATATGGTACAATCTTTAGGTTTAAACAGAAGCAGCGGCTTAGGGCAATCTGTGCCCTGATTTATGGCAGTATTTGTGCAAACCACAGTAAACAGCCAGACTGGCACAGTTTTTTCCTTTCATTAAGTTGCATTAAAATCTGAGCAATGTCTTTTAGACAACACTATAATTAAATCCTTGAGCAACCAAAGATGCAGTGAAGCAACAGCAAAACCACCTCAGGATACACTATACATGCTGCTCTTGCTGCTGACAGCCAGCCGTGAGCAGGGTAAGCTGAATTGGATTAGTTTTATGTGCCAAAGGTCTTGCATCTCCTTCAGAACACACCGAGAAGCCTCCTGCTTGGACAAGGCTCTTCTGCAGCAAAGCAGTGCTCATAGCATCATGATTTCCCCTTCCTCCTTGTCTGTCTGTCTTCCCCAAACCACCTCAAACATTTTTTTTCCCCCCATCTTATGGTCTTAAAAAGAAGAGCAGGAGACTCAGATCTGGCAACTTTAAGGGGAGAGCTAAAGGAACGCTATTGCTGCCACACATTCACAAATACACTTACGCGTAGAGGAAAACAAGGGTCTGCAGAGGTGTCTCCTCTCTCAGTTCTACTTTATTATTTTCTGGATGATCATTTTCCTTCCAAATAGCAAGCCCTGCTCTGGCTCAAGAAAGTAAACTCTTGTGGCAGCTAGTGGGGCATACAGAGCAGAGACATCCACAGCCCTGATGCCACTTCTGTTCACCTTCACTGCCCAGGGTGTCAAACGCTTCACACGCTGCAGCTCCCCTGACTTCCTAGCCAACCCAGGAGCACATTCAGCTCCTCTTCTGTGCCACTGCTGAGGCCACTGGGCCACGCGGAGGCGGCAGCCTTTGCCCAGCGCCTGAGCTGCTTGCACACGAACGCAGGGCACCCTGGAAAGGACACCCAGCACATCACATTCAACCTCCTCCCTTCCACTCAGCTGAGCGTGTTTCTCTCACCACCTCTCAGGCCAAAGCAGAGAGAGGCCTGACCAAGAGCAAAGGAAATGAGGGAACACTTCCCCACTCCATCGCCATAGCTCATTTTTTCCATCGTGAGCAACTCGTTCTCCTCTCACAGGGAGGATCATATGAAACAAAAACTGTTTAAAACTTAATACTCTCTATAAAGACAAATAATTCTTGGCTTGGTTAATCTCCTGTGTGTTTTTAGTGTCTTTTTATAATTAACAGGAGATTAACCAAGTTCAAGTACTATAGAAGAATGATTTATGCACCGTTAATCTCATTGGAAACAGCACGGGACATCAGACACCACAGGTAACCACAGCCTTGGGCAACTTAGTCCAACTGCTCCAGATACCCACAAATCACCAGCAAGGTGTGCTGAACTGCGACTGCCATAGACAGAGCATCACTATCAAATCTGCATGTTCCAACTGCTCCTTCCTCCAGCATCAGCGCTCTCTACCTCATCACTTCGTCTTGATATTTAAAATTTGCAAAATATTAATCTTTATTTTAACAGATCCAGTTATAACAACAGTACAAGCCTCTGTGAACCTCACAGACCTAACACAAACCTGTGCAATGCTGCTGATGCACAGATAGGTACAGCATGTTAAACGGTGTTTCCAAAACAGCCTTGGACAGCTAGGAGAGAGCTTGTATCAACAAGGCCTTAGACACGCTGAATTACAGGAGAAGATTAGAGGAAAAGCAGCAAAATGTGACAT